TAGCCATGCCTCAGGATATTCAACCAATTCCAAACTAAACATTTAAAAGAATGAAAATCAATCAACAGTCAATAGCTCTTACCCAAATATGATTCAATCTCAAAAGTTATAAGTAATAAGCATGTTACCGAATATTGCCCACACATTTAAAGCTTAATTATCCAATTACTGGAAAAAATATCCAACCAAAATTGTAAGTTAAAAATAAAAATAAAAAGAGATATAAAATTAAAAATTTATCTCAAAATTTAGTAGCATCTCATAGCGTAGACATTCGAATAACAATATTTGAAGGCTAACACATTAAGTCAGTTTACAAAATATACATACATACCCAACAGTTCAAACCAATTTTTGTCTAAAGTTCAAACACGAATTTAACAATTCCATTTCATTAAATAATTTAAAAATAAAACGAAAAGAACAAGCAATAAAACAGACCAAAAAAAAAAAAGAGGCCGAAAATCAACAATTAAATATAGAGTAACTACATTCACGTCAAAACATGAACAAACTAGACCGTTAAAAATCCAAAAATAAAAACACACACACCAAAAAAAAAAAAAAAAAAGGCCAATAGTCAAAACAGAAACTATCAAACTATAACCGAAAAAAAAAAAAAAAAAAAGGCCAATAGTCAAAACAGAAACTATCAAACTATAACCGAAAAAGAATGACTAAAAAAGGAGAGTTAAAATAAAAGAGAAAAGAAAAACTACCGGTCCAAAAACTGGCTTGAGCCTTCTTGTACATCTCCCAAAGTTGCTGGTACCTAATGGGGAACATACAAAACCTCTGGTTTTGCTCCTTTAGTATTGGCTCTTCTTCTTCATTATGTTGGTCTCTTTCATGCTCTGTTTCATTCACCAGAGACCCCATTTCTCTTCTCTCACTGAGTCTCTTTGAGGTTTTAGTTTTGTTATCTGTAGTGATAAACAAAAGAAAAACCCTACAAAAACCCTCAGGCTTAAAGAGAGAAACGGACAGATTGTGAATTGCGGATGGATATCAAATATTAAGCGACAGGTTTTTATTTTGTTTTTTTGTTCCTTCACCCTTTTTGTCGGTTTGTTTGTTAGTTCGTTTGTTTCCCGGTTTATATAACCATCGAAACTAAAATGGTTTGTTATGGGCTTTTGATGAGTTAGGCTTTATATGTGAAGTGGGCTTTTGATGAGTTGGGTAGAGCGATTCGTATTGACAGCTCCGATAGACCAAAGAAACCCTATTTCAAAGATTTAATTTTTTTTTCTTACGACGCCTCGTGAATTCTATAAAGGCCATTCATACCTTTTTTTTTTTTTTTTTTTTTTTATATATATTTGAAAAGATTTAATATTTTATTCTCATGTGTCCTCTTTATCCACCTGACATATCCTATTACAAGTCTTTTCTCTCCATTAAACTCTCTTTTTTTTGGTCGAAATGATTTAAAAAACACAAAAAACAAAAATAAGGTTTATGGATCATAGTGGAGTGTTAAAAGTATAGATAAAGATGGACTTATAATCCAATCTTATAAACTTTTTCTCATAACCCCAATGTGACAGTTCGTAATTAGTCAGCTCGCAATTGAGTAGACGGAAACTATTACAAATTGACTAATTGGAGCTATTATATCGGAGTTATAAGAGAAAGTTTGTAAGATTAAGTTGTAAGTGTAGTATTGCCTTAAAAGTATTTGTAATGAATAGGATATTAAAGTTATTTTTAACAATTTAAAAGAGGGAGAAATTTGTTATTATAAAATTAATTAAAAAGTGAGGTACAGTAAAAGTAGGGTTCTTTAGGACATTAGTGGGATGCATCCGCAATCTTTTGGGTTACAGTGATGGTATTGAAGCCCCATTAAACTTTTTTTTAAGCCCTCAATAATAACTAAAAGAATTTTAAAAAGTTGATTTGTAAAGATATTATAATTCTTCCCAAAATTACCCTAAAAATCTCTTTCTTTTTCTCAATAATAATAACTTAAAAATAACACCATGAGTAAATGCCTGTTCCCACCCAAGGTTCAGCCAAATTGCAGGTTACCACCCCTAGTTTCATAAATCTCATATACCCACCCTTAAATGAACATTGTGAGTGACTGTTGAGTGCTATTACCCAATTGCCCTTAACAAAACCCACCCATGGATTTGTAAATTCCGACGGCCATTTTGGTTGCTTCCTCGATGGAAAATCTACCAAACCCGGCAGGAATCACTCCCCCAGCATCGTTCAAACTCCTCTAGCCCCCTTTTGACCAAAATTTGGCCTAATTCCACTGGATTTGCGACGCCACTTATGACCTCCTCCACCTTGTAATTGCCATTTTCTGACCAAATTAGCCTGATTTTGACAAAAAAAACCTACCCTGACGCCACCTTTTGATCCACTGGCATCCTCTCTTTAAAACCCCCACCACCCTAAGCTGTGATTGCTAGTTGGTTGTCACCCACCACTTCCCCAACAACTTGTCAATAGTTGAAATTGAGTTTTCAATTGGAGTTGGTTTTGAAGCTTGGTTGAAGGGAAATTGATTGTTTATGGAAGCGTTTCTTGTTGTTGTTGTTGTTGATTTTGTTTTTTTGTTTTTTTTACTGTTTTCCCGTCGCCAGCCACAAAAACCACCTACCTTTGACCACGCCCCCCACCCCCAACCAACATCCAAGAACATCTCCCCCTGTGCATTGCTTCAAAGCGCACACAACCCACCACATGCGTGGTAGCCAATATCTAGCCACCGTGTAAGCCAAGAAGCAGCCATTTGGCTGCTGCGTCTTGGCCCTCATAGTGGCCAGATTTTGGTTGCCACCTGAGGGCCTCGTGGCGGTTGGATTTTGTGGCGACACAGCCCTCATGCAGGGGCCAAATTCTAGCCACTGCGAGGGCCAAGAAGCAGCCATTTGGCCACTGCTTTTTGGCCCACGCAAAGGCCAAGTCTGGTCACCATGAGAGAAATGTTAGAGAGAGGGTGCTTGCGGGAGAAATTTAAGTTATGAAGGGTTGTTTTGAAATTTTTATTTTAGATTTATTATAGTATAAACGACCATTTTACCATTTGTTCGTTAAATTAAACGTTTTTTCTGTTAATTTGAGGGTGAGAATATGAAATTTATGAGACGAGGGGTGGTAACTTTGGTTTTCACTAAACCTTGGGTGGGGACATGTCATTTACTCTAACACCATTTTTAGAATATAGGTTCAGGCTAGAGGCGGCGGTGGGCTATGCCGTGCCTAAAAATTCAAAGCCCATCGTGCTGTGGGCCGTGCCAAGGCCAACAAAAATTCGTGCCCTGTAGTGCCGTGCCATTGGCCGACCCACGTGCTTTGTAAAAATATTTAATTTTAATATTTATAAATTATGGTAATTTTGATTTATTATTAATAAATATTATAAAGATATTTTATATGTTATATTTAGTGACATTTTGTATTTATATTAATTAAAAAAATATATGATTACTATAAAATATAATAAAATAATGAGACATTGAAATATTAATTGAATTTCAACACTTTTTATTACTTATAAGTTATAATTATAAATTACAAATATAAACTTAGAAATTAGGATTAAGAATTATTATACATCTTCATTTTCATTAATTTCTAAATTCTTATAATTTTATTTTTTTAATTTTTAATTTTTATTATTTTCGTGCCATGTCGTGTTAGCCCGCGTGCCTTTTTTAAGGCTCACAGCATGACCCGCATATTTTCTTGCTATATCGTGTCATGCTTTTTTTTGTGTCATATCTTATCGTATCGTGCTTTTTCCATGCCGTGCAGCCGTCGGCAGTCTTTCGTGAATGAACGACCATCCAACATTTATGGACGCCCACCCATATTTAATGGACCCCTGTTCATATTATATGGACGGGTGTCCATTTACTATGGATGGGCGTTCAAAAAATTTTAAAAGCAAAATAATGGGCGTCCGTGATTATTGGACGACCATTCACCTATAATGGACATCTGTCCATGAGAAAATAACAATGGATGAATGTTCACCTAGAATGGACGCCCGTCCATTATTTAAAATAAAAAAAAATTAAAACAAAAATTACGGACGTCCATATTCAATGGACAGGCGTCCCTTTTAGATTGACGCTTGTCCATTGTTTGATTTAAAAAAATTTCCGCCAATTTGAGTCTCAATCCAAAAAGTAAATGTCGTTATCTTCGTTTAATTTTTGTCTATATTCAAAGTAATTGGACAAGTGTTATAAGAATAAGGCTCTAACTCAATTAGGATTCACAATCTTCATTAAACTTTTGTCTATATTCAAAGTAGTTGAACTAAGTGTCATAAGAATAAGGCACTAACTCAATTAGGATTCACAATTAATGTATTAAATAAATTTAAAATTTAAAATTTGTTAATATTAAAAGATGGATGCCCATCCACTTACGAGAACGATCGTCCATAAACAATTTAGGCTAAATTTTTTTAGTTTAAACTATGAACGGACGTCCATTCTAGGTGGATGGCCGTCCATATAATATGGATGGGAGTCAATTTCAAATGAATGACTGTCCAATAACAATGGACGGTCGTCCATATTTGATAGACGATCGTTCATTCGCGAAATATTTGTTAACGTGATACGTGGCTCGTCTGATTCAGTGGACACGTTGTTCGATGTGAAAATTCGGTGTCAAGCATCGGTGTCCGTAACATTTTTCCAAAAATATCTTGCCAATCATCGTACAAAGAATAATCTTTCTTGATCCCATCTTTATTCTAAATAAACTCACTCTCTAAGAACTGTTTCTGAATAAATATAATAAATCCAACTAAGAAGGCACCTATAATATAATACGTGAAAAAATGGCTGAGTGTCCGTCAAAGCCGCAAATTGATTGACCGATAAGGGAAGAAGTGTCAAGGCGACCGACCACGATGACGAAAGTAATGACATTGTTTCGATCATTGTATTTGTCTCCCTATAAAACATTAATTGATTCCCTCCACTTTTCTTGAAACTGGAAAAGTTGAGTTAAGAACAAGAAACATGGCAAGCTCTCAGTGCCTTGAGAACCCACCAACCCTCACACCCACTTGTGGAGCAGGGACTGTCCAAGTATTTGGTGGTCTCAACACTTATGTCACTGGCCCTTCGGATTCTAAGCTCGCTATTCTTCTCATTTCTGATGTTTTCGGTAACAACCCATCTCTTCAATCTTTCATTGATTTATATTAGCTTTGCGGATCATACATGGTTTTTTTTTTTTTTTTTTTTGAAGTGGGGTTCCCATTTTTTGGTAAATGGGTACCCTTTCTTTGAGTTAATATTATGTGATATATACTTTTGTTCTTGAATATTTTGCAGGCTATGAAGCACCCCTTTTTAGGTACGATTATTGCTGATTGACTTAGCTTCTGTGTTAATTCATTCTTAAGCTTCAACTTTGTCAATAAGTTTAGAATGCAATAATTATTTGTTACAATTATTGATGTTAATTTGAATATATTATTAATCTTGTGAGGAAGAAACCGAGTTTTTCTTTTATATGGTATGGAATCTAAACTTGGTCGGTTCTTATATGAACATTTGTTACATTAGTCGATTTACATCGAACTAACTAGTAATACACCTTGTTGGAAATTGACTTTTAATGTTTCTTTTGCTACAGATTTTGCCATTTATAAGATCAATTATTGAAAGTATTTGTGTTACAGCACCAATTGGCACAACTGAACAGCTTAATTTGTATCATTTTGGCAAGGGATGGAAAATGCAACCCATCCATGAATCTCATATCTTTGTTGAATGATACACTATAATGTTTTTGATGCCATTACTATTTCTTATTTAGCAACAAGATTTTAGCATGCGTGTGAGAAAGGAAAAGAAAGAAACACGTTTGCATTATGTATAGTATGGTGATGTTGAATTGTTGATTGTATCATGTTGAGAATTTTCCCCTAATGTTACTTAGGGATATAAAAAGTTCAACCTTGATAGTCTAATATACCTAAGTTATACTTTGTCGTAAATTTCATGTGAACTGTTTCTTTTTTACTTCTAATTGGTGATGTAAATTGAAGAGAATGATCATGATATTTAATGGTCATTGTTAAGCTTTGTGGCAAAATAATATATTTAGTTTGAATGTTTGAAAAAGGAAGAATGTTTCTCTCATGCTTTGAACTTGCTTTTCAAGTTCAACTAAGGAAGTGGCGACCAAATGCCATTGAATCATGTCCTGGAGACTGTAGATACTCAAACTATGCATTTGATATGATTTCTTTTGGATATAAATCTTTAAACAATTGTTGATGTATATTTTTCAGTTGATTTGAATTTCAGCAGAACTAATATTTGTATACTTGCAGACAAAGTTGCAGCAGCTGGATTCTTAGTCGTGGCTCCTGATTTCTTTTATGGTGACCCTGTTGATCTGAGCAACCCTCAATTTGATCAAGATGCATGGATGAAAGCTCATAACACGGTCAGTTTCTTGCTTCACTGAAGCGAATTGAGGATGCAGTGTTGAAATTGACAAATGATAAACGTATAATGCTATCCATTTAAAAAAAGAAAAAAAATTAAGTATGATAATTGGCCATCCCTTAGTACAACTCAAACTCAAGACCTTACTGATTTCAAAACTTCTTTTGAATATTGTTACAATCATATGCATTAGATAGCAATTTAGCCACCATCCTAATAATTGGGAGGTCAACAAGATTATCATAGGATATACTCATTTCTTCTGATTGAACTCGTTGTAACAAGTAATTTTGAGAAACAAATATATACAATATACTTAAGAGTGAAAAAAAAAAAAATGAAAGAAAGAAAGAAAGACTTGATATAGTTTAAATTTTCAACATGAGAGTTGAACTCATTTAAAAGGTCATGTAGAAATGTGAAATGGATCCACTTCAAATTCATTTTTTTACCTTTGAATTATTTGAAACAATCCACGCCAACCTCTGTGCTGGGCCTTCTTTGGATAGAGTTGTCATCATCTTTTACTTGTACAACAGTAAAGTCCTCTCTGGCTAATCTATTATGAATGCTAATAAATGGTGAATTAGACTTTTCAAATCAACAATTGATCCAATAGCCTTTTGTTGAACTGCACTCAACTTAATTTGAATAATTCCTTTGCAGGACAAAGGATATCAAGATGCAAAACCAGTTATTGCTGCTCTCAGAAGTAAAGGTGTGTCTGCCATAGGGGCTGCAAGTTTTTGCTGGGGAGGTAAGCTTTCTTCATTCTCTTTTATCATTTCAAGGAACCATATGGCTCCATAGTTTGAAATTTTGAACATTTCCTATGTCTGGGGTCTAGACTAATTAATTTAGACACTGAAATTTCATCACTTGCATCTGAATCAGGGAAGGTGGCTGTGCAATTGGCAAGTTCTGATGACATTCAGGCTGCCGTTCTGTTGCATCCTGGTCCGATCACGGATGACGAGATCAATGGTAAGTTTAACACTTCCCTAGCTCACTCTTAAGCATTTGTAACTGACAAATCAAAACTTGTTTCAGAGGTTAGGATTCCGATTGCTATTTTGGGAGTTGAAATTGATCATGCTACCCCACTGGAGCAAGTGAAACATTTTGGAGAGATATTGTCTTCAAAATCTGAGGTAAGAGATCAAAATCTAAAAATTTAGGCTATGAACTATGTTGCTTCCAAATCTCTGATACAAGCTATTGCAAAATTTAATTGGTTTCCTCATGCATCTGTTGAGCTTGCCGTTAATGTGGAAAAAATTATCGTTCAACAGTAGACGGAAAAACCAATTTTCCCAAAGAGTTTGAAGGACATAAGAGATTCTTCTCTCTCTAGCAACCGCGATAGTGTGTTTTCCAACATCTGCTTTACACCAACCTTACATTTTGTATATATGATTGCTGTTTGCAGCTTGATTGCTTGGTTAAAGTATTCCCTGGTGTCTCACATGGATGGTCGGTTAGGTACAATGTTGAAGATGAATCTGCCGTGAAGAGCGCAAAAGAGGTGCATGAAGACATGTTAAACTGGTTTACGAAGCATGTCAAGTGACAAAATGAACCTTGGTAGGGTATTTGCATTAGTGGCCAGGTGATTGGCTCAGTATTTACTATTATCCTTCAAGTTTTTTGGTGTTAGTATAGTCATTGCTGGATATTGGACTATTTAGAATATCACCCTTTTCATTTTATATCATACTGGTGGACTTACTTACAAAGCATAAGTTCATATGTATAAACGTTTGAGCAAAAATTCTGCTAAACTCTGAAAGAGTTGGGATTGCTGCAGAATCCCATACCAGTTCTAACTTCTTTTGATTGTTTGTTGGATTTATGACTTTTACCACCTAAAAATAAAATTTTAACTGTGAAGCAATATAACCAGAACATTTTCATAGCTTTTTTAAGATTCGAGATGATTGAAGTATGCTAGTGGATTAAAAAAAAAAAAAAAAAGAGTTATTGTCCACCCAGATGTTCTCTTATAAAGGATTCAAAATCTCCTTTTACAACTATTTGAGCTAAAAGAAAAAAAAAATAACTTGTTTCAGTAATCTAATTGTTATTCTCTCACTAATAGAGACTATTAGTGACTCTTGGGTATATTACTTAAAAGGTTTTGAGTTTGAGTCTTTTCTTGGTTGTTAATAAGTGTAGTCATTAAAGTTTTTATCTAGTCGGTAGTTTTAGGATGCTGAGGGATTAGTTGAGGTGCATGTAAACTGATTCGAACACTCATGATCAATTACAAAAAAAAAGGGTAGGATCTCATGGTCTTGGGAAATCAATATAAAAAAAACGATATCATTAAAGATAAAAGAATCGCTGACCTTTTTATACCAGATGAGGTTTTGTTTCTACTTTCTAGTACATAAGCAAATTGAAATTATTGTTTAACTAATAAAATGTCAAAAATTCTGTCTTTCGTATTATTCCTCATATGTTTTTCCGTTGGTTATATACATTTCAAAGAATAAAATCTAAACAAATCTTTGCTATATTAATCCGTCTCATAGACTCACGCTAACCACCCTTATTTACGGGATGTTACATATTTCAAATGCCTAAAATTTCTCTTAATTGTTTACAATAACAGCTCATGCCAACACTCCCCCTCAAGTTGATGCATAGAAGTCTCGCATGCCCAACTTGTCAAGTGAGTTGTAGAGGTCCTTGCTCGATACAACTTTTGTAAGGATATCCCCCATCTTCGGATTTCAGAAATGGAAACCTAATTGTTTTTGCTTCAAGATTTTCCATGATGAAGTGTTGATCTACCTCCACATGTTTAGTACGATCATGTTGAATAGGATTATGGGAAATTGCAATTGCAGCTTTATTGTCACACAAGAGATCCATCTCAGAATTAGGGGCAAACCCGATTTCAGTAAGTAGCTTTCTTAGCCAAAGGAGTTCACACACACCTTTAGCCATTCCCCTAAACTTAGCTTCAGCACTTGACAAAGCTACCACTTTTTGCTTCTTGCTTCTCCAGGTTACAAGATTCCCTCCCACAAATGTAAAATATCTTGAGGTGGACTTTCTATCAGTGATATTACCTGCCCAATCCGCATCTGTATATCCATGAATCATAAACTTACTGTTATGTTTTGAGAACATAAGTCCCTTGCCTGGAGATGACTTCAAGTATCTAAGTATTCGAATCACTGCTTCCATGTGGCTTTGACTTGGATTATGCATAAACTGACTTACAACACTTACAGCGTTTGCAATATTTAGACGATTATGGGAGAGATAAATGAGTTTACCAACTAACCTTTGGTATCTACCTTTCTCTGTTGGTACTTGGTCTGGGTATTCTCCAAGTTTGTGATTTTGAACCATGGGGGTATTTGCAGGTCTACACTCCAACATCCCTACTTTAGTTAGCAAGTCTAATATGTATTTCCGTTGAGCAAGAAATATACCTTGCTTAGACCTAGAAACTTCAATTCCCAATAAATACTTGAGTTCTCCCAGATTTTTCATCTCAAATTCAATTGCTAATTGCTTTTGAAACAGAGATATTTCTTCTTCATCATCTTCTGTAATAATCATGTCATCTACATAGACTATCAAAGCAGTTACCTTACCCAACTGGTGCTTCAAGAATAAAGGGTGATCTGAGTTACTTTGTTGGAAGCCATATTTCTTCATTGCCAAGCTAAACCTTCCTAACCATGCTCGTGGTGATTACTTTAGTCCGTATAATGCTTGCTGCAATTTACACACTTACTACTCCATTATTTGAAAATGTTGTATAACCTGGAGGAACATCCATATACACCTCTTCTTGGAGGTCATCGCTGAGAAAAGCGTTTTTCACATTAAATTGATGCAAAGGCCAATCAAGGTTTGTTGTAAGAGACAATAACACTCTAACTGTATTCAACTTGGCTATAGGTGAGAAAGTCTCTTGATAATCAACCCTATACGTCTGCGTATATCCCTTCGCTACCACTCTTGCTTTGTATCGCTCAATATATCCATCTACTTTGTGTTTAATGGAGAACACCCATTTGCATCCCATGATCTGTTTTCCTTCAAGTAATGGAACAAGAGTCCATGTATCATTTTGCAGTAGTGCCTCCATTTCTTCCTCTATAGCTCGGGTTCATCTTGGATTTGCCAATGCCTCATGAACATTAGTAGGAATTTGACATGTGGAGAGTTCCTGTGCAAATTTCTTAAAAGGTTCAGAAAGTTCCTTGGTGGATACATAATTAGCAATTGGATACCTCGACCTTCGTTTTTCAATATTTGGAGAATATCTATTAGGTGGCTTGCCGCGATTGTACCTGAGAGGTAAAATATATCCCACAGAAGCATCTATGTCATCGGTATGTAAGGGTGTAATGATAGTACTTACCTTATGATTATTCTCAAGAGATGGTTCGGCTGGCACTTCAGAGGAGGAGAATATAGGCTCGATTTCAGATGTTGCATGCTCTGTATTCAGAAATATCTCCATTGCATGGTTCACACCACCTGAGTTATCATTTGGCCCATCATGCTCGTGCTGCTTCTCACTCCGATTTTGCTCCTCATGCTCACACGACCCTTCAAGTATGAACCAATCACATTCATTCGGCATCTCATGTTGGGACCAATTCAACTCTTCATTATGTATCTCCCTCTGACGAGGAGAAAGAGGTGCCGAAGATGAAAAAAACATATCGGTCTCCAAGAATTGAATGTCCATAGTCACATAGAGTTTCTGGCTAGTAGGATCATAGCAACAATACCCTTTTTGATGGATACCATAGCCCAAAAACACACACCGACATGCACATAGATCAAGTTTACTGCGTTGGTTTTTGTGGAGATACACGTAGGCAAAACACCCAAAGGTACGAGGAGGAAGCATCAACGTCGTAGGTAGGGACACATGATTAGAAAGAGATTGGAGGGGTGTTTTAAATGATAAAACCTTGGATGGCATTCGATTAAGAGGATGGATAGCGGTTGAGACGACATCGGTCCAAAAACATTTGGGCATATTGGCACCAAGAAGCAGAGCACATGCAGTCTCTAGAAGATGACTATTCTTCCTCTCGGCGACACCGTTCTGTTAGGGTGTTTGTGAGCATGAAGTTTCATGAATTAAACCATGTTGCAAAAAATAAGTTTGAAGTTGCTTATGGATGTATTCGCCACCATTATCAGAGCGGAGAACCTTCATGGTGGCACCATACTGAGCACCTACCATAGCATGAAATGTTTCAAAGGCACCAAAAACTTCATCTTTGTGTTTTAGTAAGTAGAGCCATATCATACGGGTACACTCATCCACAAAAATAACAAACCAACGAAAACCAGATATATTAGTAACGGGTGAGGGCCCCCATACATTAGAGTGAATTAACGCAAATGGAGTGTCACTTTTATTCATGCTCAATGGGTAAGTAGTGCGATGGCTCTTAGCCAAAATACAAGTATCACATTTCAAATCAGAAGTCTGTGAATGCTTAAACAAATCAGGTAAAACATGCTTCAAATGAGGAAAAGATGTGTGTCCCAAGCGTCGATGCCATAACCACAGTATTGTCTCTTTATTGGAAGGCAGATTGTTCATGTTATTGGCCTGGCCGATACTAATGTCATCTACATAATATAATCCCCCCCTCTTAGTACCACGTCCAATTATCTCCTTGGTGAGAATATCCTAGATAAGACAAAATTTTGGATAAATAAGTACAACACATCCAAGGTCTGTAGTAAGCTGACTTATAGACAACAGTTTATGAGATAAAGACAGAACAAATAACGTATTGGATAAATGGAGGGATGGAGATAAATTCACAGAGCCAGCTCTAGTGACTGGTGAGATAACACCATTTGCATTAGCTATGTTGGTGCGTCGCGGAAGAGAAGTTTGAGGTAGCAAAAGTCATATGGTCCGTGGCCCCCGAGTCGAGAAGCCATGCACTATAATCCGCATCTCTATGAGAGGTAAAAAGAGCAAGACCAGAGATATCTGAGTTCAAGTTGGGAGAAGTATCCGCGGAGATTGCAGCCGATTGTATAAGAGAGAGATGAGGCTCTGCACCAGCAACAGCAATTGTGCCTGAACTTCCACTGGTGCCGGTGCCATCCTGAGGACGCTTATGGCTTGAAAATCATGCCACCAATCAGGGTACCCATGCAACTTAAAACAGTTTTCACGTGTGTGTTTTTGGTTGCCACAATGAGAACATTTTTTTCCATCAGCAGAATTTCAGTTCTTGGCAGATTTACCATGGGCAGAGGTGCTTAACGTGAAAGCTTTCGAAGCCAAGATAACCCCCTAGAGCCCATCGGTGTCATGGGTAGTCATAACCTATTGTCGAATAGCCTCCCATCTAACATACGCATATGCTTGTTCAACCATAGGAAATGGTTTTATCTGTAAAACATCAGCACGTATATTGTCTAGCCGATCATCAAGACCATCCAGAAAAACATACACACGGTCTTTTTGGATGATCCAGTTATAGTGCTGAATATCAATAGAACATTCCATAGGATTCGGTCAGCGGAAATCAATTTCACGCCATAGACCCTGCAACTCCG